GTAAGTTTTTCCGTAATGAAGATATGTATCACACATGAATTATGAAATTTTTCTTCCCGTGACCTTGAAGTTCCCCAAAGACCTTGGGTCAAGGTCATGGCCCACCCTTGGGTCATGGGCAATCTTTGTGTGAAATGAAAACCTACCAAGTTTATCCATAAGAAAGATGTGGACCGGACATAAATTATGAAGTTTTTCTTCCAGTGACCTTAAAGTTCCCCAAATGACCTTGGGTCAAAGTCATGACACGCCGTTAGGTCATGGGCAATCTTTGTGTGAAATGAGAACCTACCAAGTTTATCCATAAGAAAGATATTGACTGAACACGGATTAAGAAATTTTTTTCTTCCAGTGAACTTCAACTTCGTAAAATGACATTGTCTCAAGGTAATGACAAAGCCTTGGGTCATGGGCAATCTTTGTGTGAAATGAAAACCTACCACGTTTATCTATAAGTTCATCATGCTCATTCTAACGAATGCTATTTCTGCAATTGTTCAATTATTCTGTTGATGAACGTGTTTTTATTTTGTTCATAACATTGAATGATTTCATACTGAAAACTGCCTTAAAATATGCTTCAAGAAATCTCAATACATGTACGAGGGTCATTCAAAAAATACGTAGACAATGCTTCTCATCGTCATATAATTATTACAAGATTATAGATCAACTCATTTTCGTTAACATAAACATTTACTTTGTTGAAGTGTGAAGTTTCATTTTATTTGATTAGATAGAACTCATGTTAGTCAAAATTTAAAGCAACATGTTTTGTTTCCACGCAGCACGGTTTACCAATATTGTAACGTCAAAATCAACGCTGAGAAAGTTTGTCAAAAATATACTCTTTTTTTATATTTCAAAAACGGTTTGAAGCGTCTTTATTTATTCAAAACACATATCCACAACATTTAACACCTAGTTTGCTAACAATTGTACAAATACAGCTTGAATTAGAATGTTTTTCATTTCAAATTCTTTAATTTACCATGCAACTCTATTATTTCTGCAACATTGAAGCACACATTACGTTCAATGACGTTCTTACTCTTTTGACAATATTTTTAATTTTAACCTGTTTCTTTGCAGTCGATCCATCGTCTGATTCAAACTCGCTACCACTCAAAAATTGTATTTTCAATCTAATACAAATACACAGATTATTTTTCAATCAGATCCTGGTTAAAAAGGATTTTTTTTAGCTTGTCGGAAGAATTTTTTCCGAATGTAAAGTCTAATTTTATTGCTACTTGCTGCTCCGTGACGTCCTCCAACGTCATGGTTTTTTGACTTATTTAATCAAAAAATGGTTGTTTTATTTGTGTATGACTGCAGTGCCTTGCTCTTCTTAATAACTTATAAGCACTTGGTAAATGTCTCAGATTGCTGTGCCTAAATCATGCAGAAAAAAAATGTGATTTACAATTATTATATTTTCTTTAAATGCATTACTACATGTAAATATAGCACATCCTTTTTTCTAAGCAACCATGGTCAACCATAATGACACAAACATTCTCATATGTAAATTTTTAAGCACTTCGTTAAATGATAATAATATTAAGCTCAAATTCATAGGAAATAGATATACTTGCAAATGATAGTAAATTATAGTTTAAAAGAGGCAATTACAATATTCGTTTAATTTAATTGTTGTTTTTCTTTATTTACCTAAATATCGCTAAAAATAATGTTCATCAATAAAGTTACTTCCCCTTTTTGTGACGTCATAAGAGACACTTAACAGATCTTCCTATGATATTTAAGGTACTAGTATCGATCTTTTTATTTGTAACCCCTCAATGAATAAAATTTAATGAGATTGACACAGAATCTTTAACACAGAATCTTTAAATTATATTGTCACCGTGCATATCAACAACTAATGATGGGAAATGGTGAAAAAAAATTAAACAGACCACAGAATGTCAGTCATATTGTTCCAGAGGCTGATATTGATGAATAATACTGAATTTTCAAAAAAAGATTTATACATGACCTTTAAGCATATCATTAACATGCAATTCATCAACATATTGCAATTAAAAAAGGAAACATATTTTGCAGTAAAACACATTTTCATAAAAATTAAAATCTAAGGCAACGAGTTTTACATAATTGTTTTTCTTTTATTACACATAAATCATTTCTGCCTTTTAATGAGTTTTCAAACGCTCATTCTCGTCAATTACACATTCACTGGCTGCCAATTTTGTTAAATAAATCTAAACTTATTAGGTACAATCCTGATAAACTATGAATCTGGCTTAAAGCAACATATGTCATACCCTTTTCAAACCCGTGAGAACCTACATCAAGAACAGCACAATCTAAAGACATTCCTTGTACCTTATGAACAGTACAACCCCATGCTAATACCAATGGAAACTGTTCGAACTATTTGCCTTCCACTATTAGTAAACTCAAGCTGAACAGGTTCTATTGGAATAGGATTATGCATTGACATGTTATGAACACAGTTTAATCTCCCCACTCTATAATCATCAAAAAGTACATATATATTTTAGATGGTACAGATTGTTCGTTATTTGACATTTCATAGTCTATATAAGTAACTGTTCCCATTGCACCATTTACTAGCCGTCTTCCCGTCTGAATGTTTCTAATTAACATAACTCGAGCATTGACAACAATCTGCAAAATATTACACAAGCCTCCAGCATCTCTATCATCTTTTCGAATTAAATGAGCTTCAACAGAATTTCATGCATTTTGGTCAGCTTGTGAAAAGTAATGTAAAGCATTTTCGCGCCACAATCTCATTGTCTTCAGAGAACCAATGAACTGGCACGGAATGGAACCAAACAGAAATGCGCAAAAACCCCGAAGGGTATAGATACAAGCCAATTCCGCCAGTCAGCATCAGTTGTTGTTCAAAAGCCTTTGCATCCATAACACTGCTTTAAACAGAGTTACCATGTTTGAAAGTTTGAGGTCGTTGGGTCTCCCTGAGAATTACCGGTAAGTATTTTGATGCATATTTTTGAATAGGTAATAATTAAAGCAATAATTTATTATTTTCAGTGAGTATTTACATGATGTATTTTAATTATATTTTTTTATGTCTTTACAGATTCTGGAGTCAAGTCAGAGTTGCAGAAATCACAGACATGCCGCCAAAGTCGGTAAGTTTTGATTCGGGAGAAGAGATCGAAATCATTTCTTGGATTTTTTTTCTCTTGTACTCATTTTTTCACTTATCAAGAGTCTCTGTTTCCATTTATGCAGTGTATTTACCTTGGTATTGTTTAGACTTTCTATCCTTCTAAGCCTTTTCTTTCTCTTTCCTTCTTACAGCCTCTGTTATCGTTTATTCAAGACAAAGTTTCCTTTGTCTCTGACACCCTGTCTTCTCACTTGTAGTTTTCATATTTATATTTTTTATTCTAAAAAGACAATGAACAAAGAAAATGTCTTAAAATTTTTGAATATGGCATTGTTAATCAAATTGTTTTTAACTTTTTCTTACAGAGAGGGAGCTAGATGATCTAGCTTCAAGTCAGAAAGCACAGTATATGTGGCTGAACCTGTATGTAGAGCGCCTCTCAAACAGGTACACTGGTCTAGAACTGCATAAATATTTTTAAAAAAAATATTAGAAGATTAAGAACACCACATTTTATTGAATTAAAACTTCATTAATTATATATTACCCTAACTTCTTTTCTTCTAGGATTGAGATTCACAGCAAAAAACAGTCACTCTGACAGACGCCAGAAAATTTTCCAGAATGCCCTCAGGGATGCTTTGTTGCAAGAAAATTTCTGCTGCATGAAATCTACCATGTTTACTCCAGTGCACCAATGATTTTGTTTTGTATTTAATGAGTTTTTTCTGATATAGTTGTAAGTTAGTGTGTTTATTTTTAATTAATTCGATTTTGGTTGTAACATATTATTTGATTGGATAAAAAAATTGATCTATCGGTAAAATTGTATAACCTGGCCCCAAGACTATAACCCAGGTCATAACAAATTCTTTGACATATTGCTTTTCCACAGGCATTTATGACTACCGTTCAACCAAATCATGAATAAAGAATAAAACCTATAGACAAATTCCAAATTTCATATGCAAAATCCTGGATCTGCTCCAGTGATGAACTTCCATGGTCCCATATTACGCTAGGGGGAACAAAAGCACCCCTGTCAACGAGCGATCGCGATCGGCAGCGCTGATGCGATCGGAAACATCGATCGTTAAATTCAACTACATGAGGAAGATGGAGTTAAATAAAACAATATTTTGTCATATTTCTTCGCGATTTTGCCTCAACATTTCTGACTTTTTTAACACCATGAAATTCCTTTGTGCATTAAAAATCACCAAGATTTCCTTGCCCTAAGAATTGCCCTTATGTTACATACGGTGCTCGTTTACGTGGTATTTCTTACCTTATTACCTATACCCCACAGACCAAAAGGCACACATGCAATATATTCCTTTGGGTAAATTAAAAATGTTTCCGATTTGAAGTTCGTTAAGAAATAGAAAGCGTCAAATTAACCGTTTGAAGTGAACACATGGCAAACGTTTTGCCGATCGACAACGACTCTATGAGACAATAGAATTTTCTGTTACATTCTTTCAAAATGCTACTCCTTCCTCAGTTTTGGTCTGATTTCAATATAACTTGGCACACAAGTAGGCTACACTAAGATACAGAATTCTATTTCTCGGTTTTTAGCTCTACTGGTCAGAGACCAGAAGAGCTTATGCGATAGTAATGCGTCCGTCCGTCCGTCTGTCTGTCTGTCTGTCCGTCTGTAAACAATTTTTCAAAACGCTACTCTTCCTACAGTTTTGGTTTGATTTCAATATAACTTGGCACACAAGTAAACTACACTAAGATACACAATTCTGTGTATCGGTTTTTGATTTCGACAAACCGTGTTGCCGTGGTTACTAAAAATAGAAATTTTTGTGAAAATCATTCAAAATGCTACTTCTCCTACAGTTTTGGTTTAATTTCAATATAACTTGGCACACAAGTAGACTACACTAAGATACATAATTCTGTGTATCGGTTTTTGATTTGGAAGAATGGTGTTGCCGTGGTTACTAAAAATAGAAATTTTTGTGAAAATCATTCAAAATGCTACTTCTCCTACAGTTTAAGTCTGATTTCAATATAACCTTGAACACAAGTAGACTACACTAAGATACATATATCTGTGTATTGGTTTTTAATTTCGACAAACAGTGTTGCCGTGGTTACTAAAAATAGAAATTTTTGTGAAAATCATTCAAAATGCTACTCCTCCTATAGTTTTGGTTTGATTTCAATATAACTTGGCACACAAGTAGACTACACTACGATACAAAATTCTATATATCGATTTTTGATTTCGATGAACCTTGTTGCCGTGGTTACTAAAAATAGAAATTCTTTGAAAAACATTCAAAATGCTACTTCGCCTACAGTTTAAGTCTGATTTCAATATAACTTGGAACACAAGTAGACTACACTAAGATACATAATTCTGTGTATCGGTTTTTGATTTGGACGAACGGTGTTGCTGTGGTTACTAAAAATAGAAATTTTTGTGAAAATCATTCAAAATGCTACTTCTCCTACAGTTTAAGTCTGATTTCAATATAACCTCGAACACAAGTAGACTACACTAGGATACATAATTCTTTTTATCGGTTTTTGATTTTGACAAACAGTGTTGCCGTGGTTACTAAAAATAGAAATTTTTGTGAAAATCATTCAAAATGCTACTTCTCCTATAGTTTTGGTTTGATTTCAATATAACTTGGCACACAAGTAGACTACACTAAGATACATGATTCTATGTATCGATTTTTTATTTTGATGAACCTTGTTGACGTGGTTACTAAAAATAGAAATTCTTTGAAAAACATTCAAAATGCTACTTCTCCTACAGTTTAAGTCTGATTTCAATATAACTTGGAACACAAGTAGACTACACTTAGATACGTAATTCTTTCTATCGGTTTAGATTTCGATGAACGGTGTTGCCGGTTACTAAAAATAGAAAAATTTTAAAATTCATTCAAAATACTCCTCCTCCTACAGTTTTGGTCTGATTTTAATATTACTTGGCACACAAGCAGACTACACTGAGATACATATTATCAGTTTTGTGATTTTGATTTTGATGACTTATGTTGCCATAGTAATTTAAATTGAAAATTCTGTAAAATTTTATTAAAGCTACTCCTACAGTTGTAGTTTTATGGCAATCTTGCCTCAAAAAGAGACTTAATCAAGGATCATTATTCTATTTATTGCTTTTGTAAAGTTTTAAGTCTTTACTGCTTTACTGCTACTTTTCTCTTTCTTTATTATAAGTACAAACTACAAACTTTGGTGTCAGGGCGGGGCTGTATTGATTATATAGTGAAAATACATGGTTTCTTTGAAAATCCCTTTTTCTGCTCCTGGGTATTAAATAAACTAAATATGGGTATCATATTCTACATTTTGTATAAAGTAAGCCCTAAGCCTAACAAGAAAAACGAACACGATGTTCTTATGAAGGGAACCTTACAGTTCTTGACCCCTAGCAGGAATTTCAAAAGTAGCTTTATTTATAGGCAGAGTAACCAATAATACACTCAAAATAAATGCCTAATCCGATTTGCAAGGACTAAGTCTCTTAGCCAATAAAGTTACAGAATACATATTGCGTTTGGTGTGACTGACTTCAAGTCACCTGGATCAAAAAATTCTGGATTTAATTCTTTTTATCACTTTTTCCCCAATATGTCCCATGTGCCTATCATGGAATCTTGTTATTTCCGATCGTTTCGCGTCTTTTACTTTGCATATTGGGGAGCTGCGAAGAGTGATCTTCCTCTTATTGAACCTGTTCAAGTGTACGGTAATTATTCAAGGTTTTGAAATTGTGTTCTTTATTTTGGCACACCAAAACAGGACAGGACACGCCTCCTTCGGGCCACTTTTCGCCTCTTTTTCATTTCAGACAGTAGACACTCTTGTTAGATGATGCATGATTCTACGTGCAAATTTGGGCTATTTTGTGAGGGTTTTGAAATAAAACATTTTTTTTATAAACTTATTCCTATTTTTTTCTCTGTCGTCGCCCGCCTGACGCAGTGGTTAGTGCGTTCGCGAAGTAAGGAGTCAATCCTAACGTTGCTGGGTGTGGAGACCGGTCCTTCGGTGAGACCGTATTAACCGAGGTCCCGTGTCGCAGTAGGTGCTGACACAAAAAGATCCCTCACTGCTCAATGTCCCTGATTGCCGAGCATAAGACAAAATTTTATAGCCCTCCACCGGCAAGTGGTGGTGTCTCCATATGCGTGAAGAATTCTCGTGGGGGACGTTAAACAACATACAATCATTTAATCAATCTTTCTCGGTCAGGTTAGTCTGTCGGGTCCAGTCTTTGAAAAGCAAACCAACTTCTTCTGACAGACATAGTTCTACACCCTGTCTGGCGTTTCCTGTACTTTGAGTGGGATGTTTATTGTAAGTATTTTGCCATTAGGGACCTTAGTTTATAAAACAGTCGGCTGTAAAGTACAAAGATTCATGGAACTTAATTATGTATTGGATATTAAAATCTGTTATTTTAAGTGTTCAAATTTATATAACAAACATTCTAAAATTTTATTTAATACGATTTGGCCTCAATCATACCTATCATTGTTGCTTTCTTCTCAGGTCTGTTGTTCCTGTAATGTTGTCGATCTCTTTTGCCTTTTGTAAATGTAAATATTGTATAATATTTGATTTTTTTCTAATTATATTTTCCTTAAATTTCTTTAAAATAGTGCAAGATAAGCAAATTATGTTTGTTTAATACCCTTATTCCATAATGCAAGATATACAAACTTGTTTGCGTTTAATCCACATTTGGGATTTCCCCTGTTGTGCTTCACTCGGTGACCGAACAGTGATTTATAGATCTCGATGATTCCAGACAGCTGTTTTCTTTTGATGTTGTTTTCGAAGTGTTCCTATGTACGAACCCCAGTGAACTGCAGTCGTATTGTAGGAAACCCCTGAAAACGCGCTAATTGTCCAAGGGAGCAGCCATCATCATAATAAGACTTTCTAATGAAAAAATGTCCTGAATTGACAAATAAGTTTTCTCAAAAAATGAGTTGGCTGTGCAATTTCTCGTGTAAAGATTGTGAATTTCATGATCCCTGCCCCACTGGGGCCTGAGGGGTGGGGCCAAAACCACTAAAATTAATGCAATCTTAAAAATCTTCTTCTTTACTCCAGGACATCAAGCAGTCAAACAGTTTGTAATCAGTATTTGAGTCCTCTACCAAAATTGTGAAATTCATGGCCCCAGGGTCAGGGGTTCTAGTGCTTCAGCGGGGCTTAATAAGTAAATGGGGAAAATGCAATATATCTTTG